CCAGCCAACAAGCGGGGCTGGATGCGGGTCCCGCAGCCCCGAGGAGGGGCTGAGCGCGGGCGCGCAGCGGGGGCAGCGGCGGCGCCTCCCGGGGGGGAGCCCGGGGGGACGCGCGGGGGCAGCGCCAGGCACGGGGCTCCGTGGGGCTCCGAGCGGACCCCCTCAAACCTCACACCGCTAATTTGCCCCGATTTAATTAGGCAAATCTCCCGGTGCGGGACTGCGGTGATTGGCCCGTGCTAATGACTCGCCTGCACGGAGTCCCGCTGCCTGTCAATATTTATTGTTTTCCCTTTTTTTTTTTTTTCTCTCTCTTCCCTCCCCCCCGAACCTCTTTTTTTTTTTTTTTTTTTTTTAATCCGTGCCCCTTGCGTGAAGGGCCCGGGGATCCGCAGGGCGGCCTGGTTCGTGTCGGCTCGGATCCCCTCTGCTCCGCCACATCCGACCCGACCGGACCCGGCCCGACATGGCTCAGCTCGGCCCGGCTCTGCCCAGCTGGGTTCGCTTCAGCCTGCTCGGCCCGACCCGGCCTGGTCCCACGCCGTATTTCTGCTGCTGGGGCTGCGCGGAGGCGGAGGGCCGGGGAGAGGGGTGCGGCGGAGAGGGCGAGGGGGGCCCTGAAGYAGGTTGGGGGGACAGTGTAGGCGGCCTCTGCGCCGAGAGGGACGCGCGAGGCCGCGGTCAGGGCTCCCCTGGCCGGGCTGGAGCCCGGGGGCTCGCGTTGGGATCCCCCCCCCCCGTCCCTCTGCAGGCGCCGGGGCAGCGCGGCCCGGGGCTCGGCGGCGCCCCGCTGCGCGGCCGCGGTCACGGGCGGCCGCGGGGCAGCGCGCACCGCGCGCGGGGCGCGGCCGGGACGCGGTCACTCCGCGCTCCGCTCCTCGGGTCACCTCGAGTCACGCCGCTTCAACGGCGCGTGCGGCCAGCGCTCCAAGTGTGTGAGTGTGTGTGCGGTTTGGAATCACATCTGCGAGCCGAGAGATGTCACACAACAGACACAACAGCTACGAGGAGCTGACGAGCAACAGGAAACGGGGGTCTATTTTTAGGGTATAATAGGAAGTTAATATAAGCGGCCAGAGGTTTCCTATGTGCCTCGGAGCACCTTCCGTTCTCTTGCTTCCTTCACTCGAGCAGGAAAAACACCCGCGGAGAGCAGACACCCCTGTTCCGTTCCGTGCCCCCTGCTGCGGCGTGGGACGGCGTGGGGGAGAGCCCACGAGGCAGGAATATCCCCCTCGTCCGATTCACAGGGCAGTCGGGGACAGTATTTTTCATCCTACCCCAACCAGGACGGCTGGAGAAGTCGGAGAGGAGCCTATTTCAGGAGCGATATTAGTGCTCATATGTTTTTATATAAACCCGTGTACGAGCATGAGGCAGGTCGCGCGGTGCGATTTTGAAGCGAGATGTTGAGAGCCCAAGATTCCTGGCCCATATCTTTTTTTTTTTTTTTTTTTTTTAATATATGTATATGTAGCAGCAGGATGGGCAGTTTGTGAGAAACGAGGGAATCAAAAAGGTCTCGGAGGAGAGCCCCGAGTGTCCTGCAAAGTGCTGGGAGAAAACACCTAGAAATGTGGAAATCCAAAGTACATCCCCATTCGGCCACTCGAGACGCCTTTGCGGAGCGGCTCCCCCGGCACAGGCGCGCAACTTGCGCGCTACCCCGCGGAGAGAGGCTAAGAAGCGTCCTGCCTTTGCCGAGAGCTTTTCACCGCCGGCCTCCCCTGTTTACCCCAGACACACGGTCCCCTCTCCGCCCGCCCCGAGCCCTATTGACACTGCGGCTCCGCGCGGCCTCGCGGGCAGGCGGGCTCGGCGGCTCCTGCGCGGGTGCGGAGCACGTGGCTGGCAGCACTGGGACCCGGGAGCGGGGGCATCCCGGGGGAGGCAGCCACTGTCTCCTGCGCGGATCTGCRGCGGAGCCCCGGCCGTAATTAAAACCGTACGGGCAGATCCGTGCAATGCGCGGCTCTGCGGAGGGCCGGGCTCGGCGCTTGTTGTTCGGTTAACGCTGTGTTTGGTTGTTGTCCTTGGTCGCTTTCCCTGATGGGGCGGCGCGGGGGGGAGAGGGATCTGCTCTAAAACGGGACTCAGCTTCGGGCGCCTCCCTGGCCCGGGCGCGGGGTCCCGCTCGCGGGGTCCGTGTCCCCGGCAGAGGCGCGGGGGGACGCGGGGCCTGCGCGGCGTGGGGCAGCG